GCCACAACTGATATAAACTAGGTTTTCCCTAGGCAAGGAGGAACAGAGGATTCCCCAATCTCTGTGCAGTGCCGTTGGGAAGAAGGCTTAAGCCCAGCTACCTCCCACGGGGTCACCTGACCAATGGGACACTCACTCCCTGTGGTGGGAATAAAACAAATCAACAAGTTCACGCCAGATATCAATAGATAGGCAGATGATAGATACAAACAAAGAAAAGAGTGGCCAGTCTAGGGGGTTTCTCCTTTGTGGAGGGAAGGTGGTGACTTCTCCTCGTCTAGGAAACCCACTGAGGGGTCTCAAGAGGGTAGTTTGTGAAGCCAAGTGACTCACTTCACGGTGGATGCCATAGGATGAAGGACCAACTGAAGGGAGATGAGAGATTCAGAAAGATCACGGTGTATAGTGATACTTAAGGCTCACTGATCAAGCTCTGCCTGAAGCTGATGCTACTTTTTGAAGTTTCCATTATGTGAGTAAAGAGTTCCCTTTATTGTTTATGCCACATTGAGTCAGCTTTTCTGATACTAAAACCCAAACCACCCTCACTGATACAGAGCCTGAAAAATGCACTTGGCTAGGGCAGGAGGTGAGGTCGAAGTCAATGAGGACAGCTCTAGCTAGCACAGCAGCTGGTTACCCCCATGGCCTGTTATAGATTCTTACCAAGGCCAGCTGCCAGCCACGGTTGCATCAAAAAGAGAAATTCAAGCTGTTGGAGACTGGTTACTTCTTGTATAAAACCGTAAAACACATTAAGAAAGAGATTAGCTTACTTTGACATTGGCTCCTCTGTTAGCAGAGAAGGAACAAAGTTTATAAGAGGCCCTTTCTACTCACTGCCTGCAGACCCAGCTGGTTGAGAATCAGTAATCTGGAAAAGCAGAGTGCTCCACTCTAAGCTAATGTTTGTATAAGCAGAAATAGGAAGATGGGAGACTAGGAAGGGGTGCATAAACCACCTGATCCTCCCCCTCTTCTTTTAAATATTCACCTTGTGAACAGGATGAACAATCACGGTCCTTGTGAAGGCATAGCTGGGATGCAGGCAGAGGCAGGGAGGGAATTGTGGTAACCACCATGCTGTGGCACTGTTTCCTCAGCAGAGGGCAGTGTGGAGGTAGAGGTCAGTGAAATGGGGAGGGATGTGGCAGTGAAAGGGATGACTAGAGCTCCCAGAGGCGAGCTTGAGAGGCTTTCTGAAACCCAGTTCTAGGAGTGACCCTGGATGACAGATTTTTTTGGATTCTAATTAACCATCCAGGAGAACTGACCAAAAACAGACCAGAATCTCTGAAAAGCTGAAAGGGAGTTGTACTGCCTCTGAAACTCCAAGGCTGGCCCCAAACAGCCTAGGACTGCACCCCAACAGTGGTTCTGTGCATTGACATCACCTCGGGAGTTTTTAAATCACTGATGCCCTCCCCCACCTAACTCTAATTAAAGTGGTAACTTTGGAGTGAGGTCCTGGTATTGGGACTTGTTTAAACTCTTCCAATGATTCTAAAGTGAACCCCATCTCTCACAGGAAATAGACCCACTATATAAGGGATATTCACCTCCAATAAAATGCAAGATTCCCAATTAAATTTGAATTTCAGATACACAACAAATAATTTTTGTATAAGTATGTCCCAAATATTGCATGGGACATACTTTTACTAAAAAATTATTCATACACTATTTTTATTTGCTAACTCCGTCCATTCTAGCCCCTGAGCCTCACCTCAGATATGACTATTAAGAACATTCTTCCAGCCCTGGCCAGGTGGCTCAGTTGGCTCAGTGTCATCCAGTACACCAAAAGGTTGCTGGTTCGATTCCTAGTCAGGGCACATACCCAGGTTACAGGGTTTAATCCCTGGTTAGGGCATGTACAGGAGGCAAACAATAGATATTTCTCTCTCCCTCTTCTTCATTTTTTACTGAGAGTTGAAAGGGAGGCATTATTATAGTCACAAAATGGAAAAAAAATTGTATTTTTTTTATTTATACTTGACATTATAAGACTTTTTCAAATCATTCCAGTATTTTTAAGAGCTGCCTAATTTATTCAATCATCCTAGTGCATTAATGTTATCATGCATTATTGCAGCACACACATTTGGACTGGTTCCAATTTTTTATTGTTATAAACTATACTAAACATTTATATGCATAAAAATTTCTTCATAAATTATGTTATTTCCCTAATATATTTTCTGAGCTATAGACTTTCTGGGTCAAAAAATAATAACATGTAAGGCTTCTAATCCATATAGACCCTCCATATCGAATAGATGTTTATTTCCTTTCCCTACTGTTGAACCCAGGGGTGGCATATTGTAGGGCTTTGTGAATGTCAGATGAAGGAAACAATGATTTAAAAAAAGCTGACTCCATCACTCCTGTCATGCCTGTACCCCAAGCTCCCCTAATTCCATCCTGCCCATCAGGGTCTGGATCAAACATGCCTCAGGCTACTTAAGACTTTGTGACATCATGACCTATGTGACACCTGAGAAGAACATAAGTCTGTGCTCTGTGGGAGGGAAAGGGGAATGGTACTGTTTGTAGATAGATCTGTTAATGGTCGAAGGAACCAGCTAAGCTTGGTACCCTGGTGATAACAACTCCTGGCTTCCCCTTCACTGGTTAGTCATTTCCTTCAAAGCTCCAACCAACGTGACGTTATGGTCTCTTTCACAACATCACACTGTTATGGTCTCTTTTTGTGGTTTAAGTGTGACTTGTGTGCCCAGGATGCTGTGGCATCATCACAGATGTCACCCTAGATGGTCAGAAGACCTGTAGCAAGTGTCCTATCTGCTCCATGGAAGGAATCACTAACCGGTAGACCTCTCCATGAACTTACAGTTGACACTAACATCATGTGACCTCCTCTCACTGTCCAAAATATTTCCACACAATCTGCCCCAACAAGGGAGCAACTGAGCTATCCTTGTGTACCCGGAACCCCCGTGTGATCCAGGTACCTAGGCGTGTGCACCTCGTGACATGACACCATCCCCAGCCTCCTGTGCCTCACAGTCTAGAGTTGCCTATAAACAGGCAGGACATGGGTTGAGACAAAGAATGGATGTAGGCAGCAGTGAGTGTCCAGTCCCACCTTGGCTTTGCTCCCACTCCTCTGCCTGCCCAATATCGTTGAAGTTTCAAAGGCTGCTTTTGTTAACATCTCCTCACCACGGCCCTCAGTTCACAAGCCTTATCCGTATCACAAGATTCTCTCAGCCCTCATCCTTGCTTCCTTTTAGAGTTGTGTCCCAACGCTCTGGGATGTCCAAATCATATCATTTAAGTCCTATGGCTTGAGATTCCTTAAGTAAAAGCAAAGAACTTCACAGAAGGTTTCAAAATGTTCTTGGCTGTTTCCCACTGACTTTTATGTATCCTCATCTCTGGACATGAAAGACAGAGGAGGGCAAATGGCAGGTCTCTCTGGTTCCTACAATGAGCCAAATGGCAGATTCCCTTCAGATCCTCCCTTTGGGTGATTTTCAGAACCATCTGTGGACCAGATAAAGTTCCCTCAAAGAGATGAAACAAGGGCCAACTGTTCCATCTTATATTCCCTGAAGAGGGAGCAAGACAAAGGCAGAGATTCAAAACAAAAACTCAAGATAAAGAAGAAATGCTTAGCTTCCTTGGTTCCCTTTGTGCCCTACTCTGAGGCCCTGAGCAGTGACAGCAGTGACATCAACTTTCTGCTGGTCCCCTCAGGGCGTGGAAGAAGTTGAGCTGGCTTTTCTTCTCTGGCTGATTTCCACTTCCTCACAGTTAGGGCAGACACCACACTGCCTCGCTTACTTCGCTCCAGACCTGTCACAAATGTGTTGACTGCATGACACTAACAGCCAGTGTTCCTACCGTTGTGTAAGGTCAGTACTTTTCCTCCTTCCTGGAGAGAAGCAGGGCTTGTGGAGGAGAGATAACCCATGCGACTTGGGGTGTGGAGAAGATGGTCATAAGACAGGGGGCTTGCTTTCTTTCTGGTTTCTTTTTTCTCTTCCCAGGATTTTTGAAATAACATAGCATATAAAATTTTGCATCTTGATTGTTAATATTTAATATTAAAAATCAAGTATTATCATGTCACTCTATCTGTTTAAGAGGCTGATTAATGGTCCATCTTTATCATACCAACACTGTAAAATGTGTAGTTTGCTGTCAATTATTTGATCATAAACTGCACCAAACAACACTGTCCCAAATATGCTCCACATTTGTGAGGTCATTTCCATAGGATAGATTATGAGAAATAGAGTTTCCAGCTCAAAGAGTATGGAGATTTTTAAGACCGCTGACCACACCCAGTGTTATATCTAGACATCATTGTACGTATACACTGAGTGGCCAGATTATTAGATCTCTGAACGCATAATAATCTGGCGACTCAGTGTACTTCTCTTAAGTACCCCATTTATTTGATATCAAAGATACTATAAATCATGCACCTGATCAGTTTTCCTCTTTGCACTGGCTGATAACTCAGGGCAATCAGGTGGTTGATCTCCAGCAAAAGTCTAGAATACTTTTGGTACCCATTTGAGATACAAATACACTGAGTGGCCAGATTATTATGCATTCAGAGTTCATAATATTCTGGCCACTTGGTGTATGGTGAATGTTTGATAAATAAACAATTACTGGAAGGTTGATTCTTACTTTTGCCATCCTTGTACCTCCAGGACCCCAACACTGTATTTCCATCTACAGTGTGGCTCCCTTGGCTTGTGCTGCCTGAGATTCGATGGCATTATTATTCATGTCACACTTAAATGGACAGAACAATTGTGGAAGTGCACCAGAGCACTGCTCTATGGAAGGAGGCAATGACCCCGCACTTCAGAGAGATCTGTCACGTGAAAAGGAAACAGCTAAGCAGAATCCCTGGGTGATGCCAATTCCTGGTCACCCATCTGGAGAAACAACTTCCTCATAAGCATCCCAATCACATTAGCAATTGGAGCACATTCTTGTGTGTACCCTCAACCTCTGTAGTAACCTCAGGCAACCCCGGTTGTACAACCCATGTGATACCACTGTATGTAAAATTTCTTGCTTAGGCACCTCCAATTCCTATGTTCCCCCTCCCCTAGGCCGCCTATAAAAGGAGGGAAGATAGTGCAGATCCCAGAAGGAGGCCAGCAGTAGTGATTCCCAGAGCTCCGTCTCAGTTCTGCCTACACTTCTCTGCCTGCCCAGCATCATGAAGTTCCTTGAAGCTACCATCCTGGTCATCCTCTGCACCGGGGTCCTCTGCTTCCTTGAGGAAGGTGAGTTTGTTGTCCACTTTTCTGTAACAACAGTTGCTCCCCACACTCTGGCCAGAAGTCAGACCACATCTTCCAAGTCTTCTGGCCTGAGAACCCCCATGTGAAATGAGAGAACTTCTAATGGGGTTCCAAGTTAACACTTGTTTTCTTCAAGAGGGTTCAAATGGAGCCTATTGATCTGGGTGGCAGGATTTTATGTTACTTTTTGGGTGTGATCACTGAAGTTTCATTTATTGGATTATTAGCATGAGGTAGAATCTATGTCTATTTAGATCCTATGGGTGTTGGTAAGTTTTAGGAATCACCTTAGCTATTCATTCTCAAGAGTTGTAAGAATTGTCCCTACTTTCACTCAGCTATTTTATGATTAGATGGATTAGAAAAGAAGTTTCCCCAAAGAGATTTAGGAAAAGAGTAGGATTTGGTTCCCTATAGAGTAAGTTAGAGACCAAAAAGAAGAGACAAACCAAACACAAAACTAAGGAAATGAATGAGAAACAAACAAAAAAAGCCAAGTGATATCCAATTTCCTTTTCTCCTAAGCCTCATCGCTGAGCTGTCTCTATTTCTTCCTGACCCTCTCAGGCTTGCCGGAGCTCCTGAGCAACTAACTCATTGTTGTCTTTACAGAAACCACCTGCTGCATGTCCTACGTGTCCCGGAAGATCCCCCAAAAATTTGTGGTTGCCTATTTTGAGACCAGCAGCAAGTGCCTCCAACATGGTGTTGTGTAAGTGTCAGTCCCCTTGCCCCATCCCCGGGATGACTGAGAACACAGGAGTCTGAGTGGGGAGGGGTTCACAAGTGCACCAGCTGATGGATAAGGAGCATCCTGAGAAAGCCCCGCCCTCTGGGGGCCTTTAGTGCATACAAGACAAAGGGAGAGACCCCTGGGGCTGCTTACTGAGGTAAAATCGGGCCTTCAGGGAACCAGGGAAGGTGAGCCCAAAAGTAGAGGGGAGAGAGGAGTGAGAGAGACAGCAGAAAAGAGGTGGCTTTAGGTTATTTCCATAAATCACTCAGAGAAAGACCAAAAAGTCCCTGAGGGTTGGGGGATGATTCCCTGATAGGATGGACTAGCCCCGAGCTGCCCAGAGGGATGAAGACAGAGAGTCCACAGGTGGTCAAGCATGTCCTTACTCATACTTCTGCCTTCTCTACAGCTTTCTCACCAAAAGGGGCCTGCATATCTGTGCCAATCCCAGCGATGCCTGGGTTCAGGAATACATCAACACCATGCAGGAGGTCCCCGAGAGGGCCACTTTTCCAGTGGACAGCAGGAATGCTGTCTAGGGGAATGTCCCTGCAGCCCCAGAAGTTCCCTGTCCTCTGAGACCTTCCCCCCTCCACTAACCACATTCTGAAAGCTTTCTTTAATTTAGTAAGGTATATAGATATTGTAAATCGTTTTATTCCATGATGCTTTTTTTTTTAATGATCACTCTGAGAAATCATTATAACACCCTCTTATCCCCAAATCCTTTCCCAGTCAATCATAGAGTGGGTGCCTCATGTTCAGGGTGATGGTGAGTGATTGTGCTCCTGTCTCTGGGTAGGCAATTGGACCAAACCTATCAACAGATGCTTATTGAGTTTGTATAAGCCCTCTGCTCTGTTAAAATTGCCAGAATAATAAAGGTTATTTTCGTTTTCTTTAATAAATATTGGACTACTGGTTATTCTTTTGTTTTTTTTATTTTTCCCTGTATAAATCCGTTTTGTGGGTTTTTTTGTTTTGTTTTTATGTTTTCAGGAGTTTTAATGACCAAGTGTGGGGAAAGGGTGAGAACCCATGTTGTTAGTGAGCTCTGGGAGTCACAGAGTCACTTAAGTGGAGGGGTCTCCTTGACAACGGGGTTTCTGGTCACATGCTTCTCTAAGTGACAATCACTGAGGCCAGGGACACATCTCTCCACACCTGCATCATCTTCACAGATCCTGGGTCCAGGAGACAGGGAAATTTGTAATATTCATGACCATTTACCGAAACCTTGTACCAATCTGACTGCACCAAGATGCTCAGGTCAAAGGGTTGGCCATCTCCAAAGGGCATAATAGTCGATATCGCTGGTTCACCCCATATCCCACCCTGACGGGTGTTCACCACTTTTTTGCCAAAGCACACGCGGAAACAGAAGGCGACGTCCGAGTCTACTTTATTTCCAGTGTGGAAATCTACCTGCATTTGTGGGTCCATACTCAAAGGCATGGCAGATGTCCCTTTGATGTAAACTGAAGAACCAACAGACAAGGATACAAGTTGTGTATATGGTACCGGTAGCAAAGCCATTGTTGTGCTTTCTGCTAGGAAGCTCTTCCAAATTGTGTGTAGTTGTGTCGATAAATCCGTTTTATTGGTTGGAAGGAAAGCGATAGGACGATTAGGGGCATCTAAGGGAAGGAAAGAAAAAGAATATGTGCTGTTCCAACAACACCATGCTTTATGCCTATGGAATGATGCTCATACACTGAAAAAGAAGCCAAGTATTAAAAACAAGTGCGAACTTATGTGCGCGAGGGAAATCCACCATTTAAATGAACACCAAAGCAAATTATTCTAGCACGCACATGTAGGCGCTTTCATAAGCATGGAGACTGGGTCCTTCATAATCCTTCTGCCCTTCTCCATAGCTTCCGAACTAAATGAGGTTGGCTGGTGTGTGCCAACCCCGGTGATGCCTGGGCCCAGGAGTTCATCGGGGACCCAGAGTTATTCTATTCACATAATATTACGGAAAAGGTGAAACTATAAGGAAAGAAATCTAATCAACGGCTGCAAAGAACTGGGGATGGGAGAGGTGCTGACTGAAAAGGGGGAACAAGGGTACCCCCCCCTTTTTTTTGAGTGATGGAACTATCCTAAATTTTCACTGTGGTGATGGTCAAAATTCATCAAACTACACTTATCTCCCTCCTACTGTCCTGGATTGCTCCCTCTACATCTAATGAAATACTAAATGTGAGAAATATTAATATTAGAGAGGGTGTGGAACTGACACACACAGTCTGCTGCTGGGAGTGTGAATTGGTCCCATTGCTTTGGAAGACTGCAGAGTAAAGGCGAGCATAGCTAACCTTCTCCTCCAAACATCCTACAGATACCATTCACATGTACACCAGGAACCATGCAGAAGAATGCTCATAGCAAGCATAAAAGGGGGAAAACTAAAAATAAACTGTGGTGTAGTCATACACTGAAATATCAGCAGGAGTGAAGGCAAGCATTCTACAACTACACACAGTAACACAGGTGAATCCCATAAGCATTGTTAAAAGAGAAAAAAAGCTATAGAAGAATGCACATAATAACAATTATATATACTACTAGAGGCCTGGTGCACAAAATCGTACACAGGTGGGGTCCCTTGTCCTGGCCAGCAATTGGGCTGTCTCACACAATGGAGGGAGGGAGGGGCGGGGGAGGGGAGGGACCAAGGGAGGTTGGTGGGCCAGCCCCAATCAGGGCCATTTGGGCAGTCGGTCAGAGGAAGGAATCATGGGAGGTTGGTCACTGCAGGAGGTTGGCTGTGGGAGCGCACTGACCACCAGGGAGCAGCTCCTGTGTTGAGCATCTGCCTCCTGGTGGTCAGTGTGCAGCATAGCGACTGGTCATCTGGTTGTTTGGTTGCTTAGGCTTTGAGAGAGAGAGAGAGAGAGAGAGAGAGAGAGAGAGAGGGAGATGGATGATAGATAGATATAATAAAAGCCTAATGCTAAGTATCCAGTTGGCTGTCCAACCAATCAAAGCATAATATGCTAAGGCCGCTCAACTGCTTGTTATGATGTACACTGACCACCATGGGGCCGATAGGTTACCTTGCTGCTGGGGTCCAGCCAATTGGGACTGAGCAAGATGGGCCAGAAATTCCCTGAAACCCTCCCATGACCCCTCCCTGGCTGACCAACCTCCCACATCTGTCTCTGGCCCTGATCATGCACCAGTGGGGCCCCTCAGCCTGGCCTGTGCCCTCTGCAATCTGGGACCCCTTGGGGGATGTCAGAGAGCTGGTTTTGGCTCAATCCCACAGGCCAGGCCTCATATATATTTTTTTTTCTTTTTTCTTCCTCCCCCCAAAAAAACACAAAGCTAAAAATACACTGTTTAAGATTCAGCTATACATTAGAGGCCTGGTGCATGACACCTGTGCACTGAGGGTCAGGAAGGGGGTCCCCTCGGCTTGGCCCGAACTCTCTCACAGTCTGGGACCCTCAGGGAGTGGGCCTAAGCCAACAGGACATCCAATGAGGCATTCTTAGCGCTGCCGCAGAGGCGGGAGAGGGCTCCCGCCCCCACCACTGCGTTTGCCAGCTGCAGCCGTGACCCCAGCTTCTGGCTGAGCAGCACTCCCCTTGGGGGGGAGCACACTGACCACCAAGGGGCAGTTCCCCCGCATTGAGTGTCTGCCACCTGGTGATCAGTGCATGTCATAGCAACCGGTTGTTCTGCCATTCAGTTGATTTACCTATTAGCCTTTTATTATATAGGATACAGTTAAATACGCTTTAAAAAAATATTCTTTTCTATAACCTGATTTTTATAGTCTTAATACTCAGTAGACATAAAATGTGGTTTGAGAATAAAGAGTAACAGCATGACAGACATCCCTGTGCCCTCCACCCCGCATGTCCCTCTGCAATATGTCCCCGTTCCCTTCTCCCTCTGAGTGATCTCTCTCCCAAATGTTTGCACTATACTCCTTCTTCCCTTCTAGTGTATAGCTGAATCTTAAACAGTGTGTTTTTAGCTTTGCTTTGCAGAATATCGAAGACAACCAGCTTCCCAAAAAAGAGAGGGGGAAAGACGGCATATTCTATAATCTTAAGAGTGGTCAGATTCTCTATCTATGCAATTCTTGGTAAGAAACCATTTGTTGGCACTTTAAAAAGGAAGTGCCCAGGCCTAGCTGGTTTGGCTCTGTGGATAGAGCTTCAACCTGTGAACTGAAGAGTCCTAGGTGTGATTTTGGTTAAGGGCATATGCCCAGGTTGGGGGCTCGATCCCCAGTGGGGGATGTGCAGAAGGCAGCCAACCAATTATTCTCTCTCATCACTGATGTTTCTATCTCTTTCTCCCTCTCCCTTCCTCTCTGAAATCAATAATAAAAAAAAAATGTTTTTTTTAAAAAAAGGAAGTGTCCACTGCAAGTCAGCATGGGTACAGTTAGGTCAAATCAGGCTGGAGAGACCCACTTCCCTCTCTGGCGGCACGAACATCTGAGGAAGGGTGGGCTGGAAAGAGCTATCAACAAACTATCTGATCTTTGGCTCTTAACGAAAGTACCCTGGGATCAGTCAGGAAAAGAGTAAAATTCAGGAAACTGGGCAATCTGTTCTGGACCAGCATCATTGTTGTATGTGCCAGTGTGCAAAAACAAAAGCAAAATTTGAGCCTCAATCTTCCTCCTTCAAGTCCCCCTCCCCCACTCCAGCCCTCTCCTTTGAATTGGAGAAGTAGAGCAAGACTGAAGCTCAGAAGGCGAGTGCCTGAGCTTGGAAGACCAAAGCTTGGAAGACAGATGCTCAGTGTCATCAGTAACTTTGCCTGAGTCAGCTTCTTCCATCCTCCTGCCCACATGTGCCTCCCGCATCCCCAGAGCTGATGTTCAGCGAGCCAAGGGTGCAAAGGCCTGTGTGGGCCTCCCTGCCCCTCCTGTACACACACAGTAGCCCACAGTCTGCAGGGAGGAGAAAGTCAGCCATCAGAGGCATCCATGTAAGTGTCAATTTCTCTCTCTACATGCTCTTAAGTTGTTGGGAGAAAGGAAGCACAGCCTTTCTCTGTTCACCTAGAGTGGGCAAATAAAGTGTGAGATGAAAGGAACCCACAGACTTTTCTTCTTTGTTTTTCCTTAAAGCAACTGACAAGAGTTCATGTTAAACCCACCCCAGCTACTGTCCACGATACAGCTAGCCAGGGCCCCACTGGAATACAGCCACACTGGCTTGCTTTGTCACTACCTGCAGTGCCCATGTGAGTGAGACAGTGAAATGGGATGCAAACCGTTGTCACGGACTCAAAAAACCTGGACAATGGACCTCTTCTCCAATCACTCTGACCCTCACTCCCTTCTCTCCAGGCACCCACTCTCTGTCGGTTCGTCTAATGCACCAAGCCCATTCCCACCTCCAGGTCTCTGCCCTTGCTGTTCCCTCGACCCAGACACACTTCCCCCTGATCTGAGTCTGGTTTCTTCTCAACCAGGAGGTTCTAGATGAAATGATACCCTCTCCCAATGGGCTCTCCTGACCAGCTCATTAAGCAACTTCCACCCAAACCCTCAGGCATTCTCTATCACATCCTCCTAGCTTTTAACTCCATCCTCTACTACCCTGTTTTGTCTGCCTTTCCCACTAAAATTTGAGCACCTGAAGAGCAGGGATTTTGCCTTCCTGTCTGTCTCTGTATTCCCAAGGGCCTAGAAAGTGCCTAGCATACAGTAAAAGTTCAATTATTAACATCCACTGAATGAACGAACATCAGCCCTGAGGAAGGTCTCAATATGGACACGTAGGAAGATTTCACTCAGATCATTTATATGACTTATTCCTTTCAGTGACCACGTGTAACTGTAAGAGCTTAATTACTCAAACGTCACTATACCTTGTAAGTGGTGGATTTCAGCACTTAAAGCAGTGCCTCTGTCTAGCCAAATGACTGCTGTTTCCATTAAAACAGAGGTTTACATTTTTCTTTTTAGTGGAAGAACATTTTCTTTGCAAACAAACTTGCTTGGAACCCCATTATAGAAAACTGATAAAAACACAGATGCTTACATCAAACCACAATGAGATACCACTTCACACCCATAGTACGGTATTACCACCAAAACAAAATTAAACAAAAACAGAAAATAAGAAGGGTTGGCAAGGATGTGGAGAAACTGGAACTCTTGTGCACTGTAAAATGGTGCAGCTGCTATAAAAGCAGTGTGCCAGTTCCTTAAAATTTTTTAAATAGATTTACCACATGATTCAGCAATCCCACTTCTCAGCATATACTCAAAAGAATTGAAAACATGGCCTCAAGTAAATATTTGTACATCCCTGTTCATAGCAGCACTATTCACAATAGCTAACTAAAAATGTGGAAGCATCCCAAGTGTCCATCAACAGATGACTGGACAAGCAAAATAGGTATACAATGGAATATTATTCAGTCTTTAAAAGTAAAGAAATTATGGCATATGCTGAAAAATGGATGAGCCTTGAGGACATTATGCTGAGTGAAATAAGCCAGTCACTAAAAGACAAATAATGTATCACCCCACTTTTATGTGATGTACCTTCAACAGTCAACTTCATAGAGACAGAAAGAAGGATGGTGATTTCCAATGACTAGAAGAAGTGGGGAGTTATGTTTAATAGGCCTAGTTTCAGTTTGCAAGATGAAAAAAGTTCTGTGGATGGATGATGATGATTGCACAATATATAAATATATTTAATACCAATGAACTGTACACTTAAACATGAGTATAATGGTAAGTTTTATCTCATGTGCCTTTTACCACAATGAAAAAATATTGGGGGGAAATCCCACAATTGCTTAATTTGAACTTGGTAGGAGTAGTGGTGGCAGCCAGACCCATCTGCCCAACCCCCCGGTAGGATGACTGACTCCTTTCCGTGTTAGCACTTCCCAGGAACCCCCTGCAGCCCAGGAAAACCGGGAGCCAGTCACAAACCCATTGTGTCACTGTGCAGGGACCCTGCAGCCCCAACTGGAAGGTGACAAGACACAACTGCATTCTGTGGAATTGTGTTCCAGGGGCCGCACTGTGAATGATGCCCCAGGAGCCTGCCAGTGGCGCTGCCCCTTAGTCACCTCCAGGGAAAGAAGAGATGAAAACTCCTGCAATCTTTCCTGGCCAAACCACAGGGCACAGCCCAGTGGCCCTGCCTCTGGCTCCCTCAGCTTGACCCAGAAGGAATCATCCCGCAGCCCCAGGTCCCAAAGCCATCTGACTGAGCAGAACCCTGGGCACTTGCCTTGGTTGCTAAGGATCTGACCAAACTCCCCGTGTTGGGCAGGGGGGCAAGGGCCTTGAGCTCAGCCTAAGGGAAGGGTTCCAGTCCAGTCCTGACTGGTGAGGCCCATCCATCCCAGGATCCCCTCTGGATCCTTCTCCGTACTCCTAACCCCCATCAGGCCTGAGTCCACCTCCCTATCCTGTTGGGCCCTGGAGCTGCTGAGCCTGAGACACTGGCCCAGGCCTCCGAATCCGTGGTCCACACCTGAGGACAGGCTCCCTGGGGAGGCTTAACCAGGCTCCCCAAGCAGGGGCAGGAGTGGAGGGCAGTTTCCACCTCAAAGCCCCCTGTCCCCTATAACGCTCCCTCAAGGAGCAAGCCAAATGCGGAACCTAGGGTCATCCTCTGCCTTCCACTCTTCTTTGAATAAACGGACTCGGTTCTAACATTTTAGATATGTCAGCAGTCACAATTCTCAAGAAACACAACTCTCATGCAATCGTGTTGTTTTTCAAGAAATGAAAAAAATCTAGCCTAGTCATGAGGAATGTTTGCTACATTCTCAGTGAAGGTTCTGGCTTCTGTCCACACAAGTCACACAGAAGAATCATTCCAGCCCTAGCCGGTTTGGCTAAATGGACAGAGTGTCGGCCTGCTGACCGAAGGGTCCCAGGTTCGATTCTGGTCAAGGGCACATGCCTGGGTTGTGGGCTGGATCCCCAGTGTGGGGCGTGCAGGAGGCAGCCCATCAATGATTCCCTCTCATCATTGATGTTTCTACCTCTCTCTTCCGCTCCCTTCCTCTCTGAAATCAATACAAATATATTTAAAAAAAATAATCCTTCGAGGGTATAATTAGGACATAGAAGACACCAACCCTTTTTAAAAGAACTGAACTTCAGGCCTCCCTTGTCAATGTGACTGTCAAGTTAGAGCTCCAGGTACCCACTCACAAGGGAGAGGAATCACCCTTGAAGTCCACAAGCCCTCATCTCAAGTCCCCTTTGACCAATTGGCAAGCCCTGCTGCTGGGATGGTGACCTGGTAGGGGCCATAAACAATGGGCCCAGCAATCTCCATTTGTTTGAAATAATAACACTGAACCCAAGTGGGGAAACCTCAGAAAGGACATGACTAAACAACAATTAAACATGATTAAACGATAGATATGAAGATATGTCATGCATAGACTATTAATTCTCATGTGCAAAAATTAGGAATAAGTTTGTAATCATCTACATGATTTGCGATTTAAAGCATTTATAATATACTTTTAACATGGCATATTATTGTACATTCCAGATTATCCTTGTGATTTCAATATAAAATATGTAATTAAATAATTTACTTTATATTTGTGATTTTTGAGTTGAAAGATATGAGAGAATTTGGCTAAGTTAACAGAGTATTGGAGTGTTTAACATTACCTGAGTTTTTTTTTTTTTATTTTTTATTTTTAAATATGGAACACTTCACAAATTTCTATGTCATCCTTGCATAGGGGCCATACTAATCTCTGTATCATTCCAATTTTAGTATATGTGCTGCTGAAGCGAACACCTAAGCTTTTTATATTTATAAATTTATTATATTTACAGGAGTGAAGTACTTTGGAATATTCTAAGTGTTAAACTGGACATGTAGAATATGTTAGGGTTACCAAAGGAGGAACGCACATGGCAGTAAAGGATTATAAATTTATTAGGTCATCTGGAAAACCAGATGGGCTGAGCCCCAAAACTGCATCATCCCCCAGGAACCAGGAGTCAGAGATTTTAAAGGACTCTAGGTGGGATTTTTCCAGGTGGAGAATTCTCTGGGAAGAGCCCAGAGGGGAAGGATAATGGTCTTAGCAAGTTGAATGTGGTCTTCGCAAAAGGGAATGCGATGCGGTCAAAAGGTCAGCTCCCAGGAAAGGGGGTGTTGATTTAATTATTTGATCTGACCTAACAATAGTTTTTAAATTTCAACGTATTAAATTACTGAAAAAACACAGCTTAAATGGTTCACACAAATTTAATCAACAAAGTTGTAAATGGGACTGACTGCTTAAGGGCAGTCTATGTCACTTGATTAAGCACTAATCAAGGACCTTTTACGTTTTGTTAGCTTTATAAACAAGACAATTATGGGTCAAGCAAAAGGCTTATAGGAAATTAATTTTTATGTGTATTTTCCTACTGAACTAATATTTATTTAAGAGTAAAAGTAACTGCTTATACAGCTTCCTACACACTAGCTTTACCTGCAGACATGAAAAAACTCGCGTGGGTAGAAGTCCTCCTCTCTCACCTGATGACACATGCTCCACTTGGTCTTCTCTCTTCCATTCTTCCCCATCCCCTCCATTCTTCACTTGAAAATCTTCCAAGAGCTTCCCATTATACCTACGATAAATTCCAAAACCCTTATAACATGTCCTGCCAGATGCCCCATACCTGGGGTCCTTCCTGTTTCCTGAGGTTTATTCTGCCCCACCCTCTCTCTTGTCTTGGTGTTCCAGCCACACTGATCTTATTTTGTTACTTCAAATGCACCGTCCTCATTTTTGCCTCAGGGACTTTACATATGCTCTTCCCTCTCCTAGGATTTCTTTTTCTTTTCTTTTCCTTTTATAGATTTCAGAGAGAAAAGGAAAGGGAGAAATAGAAATATCACTCCCCCCTGTGGGGAGAAAGAGGAGGGTAATGCAGGGGCAGTTGAGCAATGAATTCTCTCTTATCACTGATGTTTCTCTCTCTCTCCCTCCTCTCCCTTACTCTCTGAAAGCAATAAAAATATATTTTTTAAAGAGGTGGAGTTAGGATATAAGCTAGTTAGGAAACTTATAGAAAAACAAGTCCCTTTAAGATTTGATTTTGCAAGCCCCACACATAGGAAGATATATCAAGCATATTGAAGTGTATCCACATGTCTCATTAAATATAATTCACAAATAACTATATAAGAAAAGAGCTAAATATTTAGCTGTGTTTGCCTAATTAGCAAAATGACAATCTACAATCGCTTAACCAAAACAGTGGGGCTAGATATATTCTGAAATGCAGAATCTTTCAGGTTTTAAAAAAGCAATACAATATGATCTAGCAATTTTACTTCTGAGTATACACCCAAAAGAACTGAAAACAGATACACGAAGAGACATATGTACGACCATGCTAGTAGCATCATTTTTCATAACTAGAGGCCCAATGCACAAAATTCGTGCAAGGAGGATGGAGGGGAGGGTCCCTCAGCCTGGCCCGCGCCCTCTCGTGACCTGTATCCATTGGGGGATATCCACCTGCCGGCTTAGGTCCAATCCCCCTGGGGATCAAACAAAATGTAATCCGACAGACATCCCTCTTGCAGTTCCCGGCTCTCACAGTCCAGGACCCCTCGCTCCTTACCACCCATCTGCAGTGGAGGCAGGAGAGGCTTCTGGCTGAGCAGTGCCCCACTCTGTGGGAACACACTGACCTGCATTGAACACCTGCCCCCTAGTGGTCAGTGGGTGTCATAGCAACCCACCATTCTGACGCTTGGTCAATTTAGGGTTTTATTATATAGATGCAACCCAAGTTTGCATCAACAAATAAATGGATTTTTAAAAATGGGGTATACACATACAATGGAAATATTATTCATTATTCTGACCTTTAAAAGGTCATAAATTCAGAGTCATGCTACAACATGGATGAACAATGAAAAGAGGTCTATATCCTACATTATGATGAGATAAGCCAGTAACAAAAGGATAAGCACTGTATGATTCCATTAATATGGAGTACTTAAAGTAGGCAAATTCAGAGCCCGAAGTAGAATAGTGGTAGCCAGGGGTTGGGGAGAGAGAAATGGAGAGTTATTGTTGAGTGAGCACAGAGTTTCAGTCTTGCAAGATGAAAAGAGTTCCATGAATAGACTGTGGTTATGGTTGTGCAATATGTGAATGGCCTAGCTCAGTCTATGGCCCCTTGAGTGTGGCATTTCCACAAAATACCATGGCCTGGGCGAGTCTATTTTGAAGAAGTGGCGTTAGAAGAAGTTTTAAAAAATTTGGCTCTCAAAAGAAATTTCAATCGTTGTACTGTTGACATTTGGCTCTGTTGGCTAATGAGTCTGCCAACCACTGGCCTAACTCTACAGTTGAAAATCGTTAAAATTTAACCAGTTTTGTCTAAAGTACACATCTTCTGCTCTTCCTCTGAACTTAACAGCACTGTGACTGTTCTGATAGCTTTGATCACACTCCCCTTTATCTGATGATTCTGGCCTAAGCTCCTTGACAGTCCCCCTACCAAGTCTATTTCTCTTTCACTCAGGTAACAAAAAAATGCAGGGTATGGCAAAAGTTGGTTTACAGTTGTAAGTACTCAAAACACAGATATTATTCCTGTGGTGTTATTTATTAAATTATTTTCCATACAAACAGTTGTAAACCTACTTTTGCCTCACCCTTTATATATTTAGCAGATTTAGATCACTGTGTGCCTAGGGTACAAGGTCAGAGCTCCAAGGGAAAAAAAAGGTTAAAATTGTAAATTTTTGTAATATATATACTTTACCACATGTTCAAAAATAGTATTTTTTTAAAAGGTAACATGTACCTGCAAATAACTGGGCATTTTATTCCTGGCAGAGTCCGGGAAACATGCTTTAATCAAACAGTAATACTTATGCAGCAAACACAAATGTTTATACTAATGAGATAAAGACAGTAAATAACCCCACTTCACTTTCGGTGACAAACTTTTGTGCAAGAAGTTATAGTGGTAGACTTTACTGTCACATCAAATCGATTAATGCTCAAAATGGATACTTTGTCTATTGACCTTTAAGCTATCGATATTTTCTACTGACCTTCAGTCCCTGTTATTTCTGAATTCTTTTACCATTTCATTGTTCTTCTAGTCTTTTTTAAAAATATTTTTAAAAATTAATTTCAAAGAGGATGGGAAAGGGGGTGCAAAACTGCCCTTCCCTGGAGAATTTTCTCAATACATTGAGATTTTGCCTCCCAGCAATTGTCAGTTTGGCTCAGACTCACAAATATTCTCTATAGATTTGCATGTTTCTTACATTGACATAATCCAAACCAAGTGCAAAGAGGAGCACTTGGTGTGTGTGTGTGTGTGTGTGTGTGTGTGTGTGTGAGAGAGAGAGAGAGAGAGAGAGAGAGAGAGAGAGAGAGAGAGAGAGAGAGAGAAGGGGGGCTGGCGCGGGGGGGTGGGGGGGAGATAGAGACAACCTGGCAAAATCCCCAAGTCCTTTTTAAGGAACAGATGATGAGTAAAAATCTAAAAGAAACCACATTAGAAATGCAGAGAGGTCTGCACAACAAGCTTTTTCATTCTCAAACCCAAAACAGCCAAGGGGAGTAGACAAATGCACTGCCCACCTGTGCCAAAGTCTGCTCCTGCCCCGGGGAGGCACCGCCCTGGCACAGGTTTGCAGGGGAAATGAGAGGGCTGCGGGAGAGAAGAGCCACGCGTGGCCTACTCACCGCAGCCGTGCAAGCCCCTTGAACAACGCACCCCTTCGCTCCAGAAAACCCAGTGTTGTTGTGTTGTCACTTGATTGCCTAGTGTGTTCCCTGTTGCGGGGAGGTTGGAGGAGGCAGAAAGGGGCCCGCAGCCCCTGGGCAGAGGGTGTCCCCGCGCTGTTACAGGCGCTGTGGCTCCCGGAGCCGCTTTTCCTGCAGCAACTGGCGGTGTCCGCGTCTCCCACCGCCTCAGAGTGATGGCAGCTGTCCTCCTCCTCCTCCCCATCTTCCTCACGGTCCTCAGAGGCCTGCTCCACCTCCACTCCTGGTCCTTGTACCCACTTTGGTCCTAGCCCGTAGGCCCGTGGCGCCCCTCATGCTGGGTGCGGGGTGTGGGAGGAGCTGTACTTCAGGTCTGACAAAATTCGGACCAGGCGCCTGGCCGTCCCGCCCGGGTGCTTTCACTGGGCTCCTCTCTCCCTGTTCATCCTGGCCTTCCAGTTTCTCCTTTTTCCGCGGATGTGTATCCGCTCTGCCTTGGAAACAACTTCTTGCCGCTCACTCGGAAGCTGTAGCAGGAGGCCTACTATGTAATCTTCTTTCCAAAATAGTTTGCCTTGAATCTAACCATGAGCAAACAGACAAATCCAGACCGTGGGACAACTTATAAGACAACTGTCTTAGATATATAAAAAATGCCAGTGTCAAAAAAGATTTTTTGAAAGGTTAGGAAAAATTTTTAGACTAAAAAAACAAACAAAGACATCACATGTGATGCCTGATCTTTGAGTGGATCCTAGATCAAAACAAAACAGATTTAAAGAATATTATTGGAGGGGGGAAAAGAATATTACTGGCTTTGGCCAAGTTGGAGTAACTGGGACCAATTTAACCTCCTGTGTAAAACGATTTAAAAGCCAGACAAAATATATGTAACAAAAGTTTTCAAGGAATTTGACCTCATGCAATGGAGACCAGGGACCCTAAGACATAGGAAGTAAATGAAGTGAGACCTATGATTGCCCTAGCTTATGGCTCTGAGTTTCCAGGTCATCATGGAACTAAGAGCCAGGGAAAACCAAGGTGACTAGACTTTACAAAGCAGAATACTAGGAAGCAAAGAAGTGCCCTGACAAGAACTCTGGGGATATACAGAGAGATCTCTTAAGTGTTCCACAAAGTACTAGTCAGCACATGTGTATGAAGAATTGCTTGTTCCTAAAAGCCAGAGATTTAAAACTACAGTGTCTAAATGCAAAAGACACTGGATAGGGTTAATGGCAGATTAGACACTGCAGAAGAAAGATACGTGAATTTAAAGCATAGCAATAGAAAGGATACAAAATGAAATGCAAGGAAAAACAACAAAGATGAACAACTGTGAGGATTCAGTAAACTAGGATATGCAACGTGGCCGATACACAGCACACATTTGCCACATATTCCCTTTCTCTGTTCTTTCCTTAACCTGAATTCAAATCTTACTGAATTCAACTTTGCACCAGGCCCCGCCCCACCGCCCTCCCTTTCAGCAACCACTGGGGAAGGCCTGTTTTCTCCGCCTCCACCAGCTCTGAAGTGGTCAGAGTTCAGAGCGCGAAGTGGTCAGAGTTCAAAGTGCTAAGTGGTCAGAGAGGGAACGGCCAGCAGCAAGAAGGACATCTCCATTCAGCTGTCTCTTAAGGCTGAACTGCCCCACTGAGAGGATGAAGGTCTTCGTGGCTGCCCTCTTCCTCCTCATCCTCAGCCTCGCCACTGTTTCTACTTTCGAAGGCCAGCCAAGTGAGTCCACCTGCCCCTGTAGGGCCGCCATGAATGAGCAAGGGGACCCCTAGAGCGCTGTCAGATCTCTGTCGTCACCCCTGGGGCCTCTCCCCCTCCTGCATGCTCAGCCGCTACCTTGAAACTCTCCCCTTTGTAAGCAGCGGGGCTATAGCCCGGATCCTGCTGGGGTTGGGCAGTTCCGGGAAGCTGGGTCAAGGTTATGTCAGAAGTCTAAGGGGTGAGCCTTTAGGAAGAGAAGCCAAAGAAGTAACAGAAGAGACAACAATAAAGGTATGTGATGAAGAGGCAGGCGCAAGGCAAGCGGATGAGAACGGCCTGCTTGCTCTCTGGGAGAGCAGACGAAGGGTGCTGGGCAGGTGGGCTGAGCGAAGTTTGGGGCTCAGCTCAGAAACGAAGAGGCTGAACCTAGACGCCCCTTCCCGGCACAGACTCCTGGGACTGTCATGCAGCCAAAAGGAGTCCCAATGGGATGCCCACCCAAGTGTGCCATTTGGGGTTTCATGTCCCCTATCTCCACCCCCAAGCCTAGATCTTAAAAAAGTCGGTGGGAAAAAGGAGAGGGGTTAATAGGTTTGGAGCTACAGAATGCTTGGGGACTATGGAGAACAAGATGTGTTTTGCCTTGCTTTACCCCTGCTTCTTCCAGCATTTACGAGGACCTGGTGACAGGGAAGGGACCAATCACTCAGTCCTTCCACATCCATGCCCTCGGCTGCCCTTGGCTTGCAGTCGAGCCCGGCTCTGCCTGTGTAAATGTTTGGAGGAGCAAGGGTCATGCACACCGCACAATCTGCCCCCACGCTCTCAGGATGCCTTGATCTAAGACATGGGAGCCACTGTATGCAGAGGTGCTTATGGTAGGGATAGCAATGCCCTCTGGGAGGTCCAGCAGACCCGGCTTCGAGAAAGAGAAAATGGCTCACCTAAAACATGAGTCAGCCACATGGTGCCTTGCCACCAGCTGTGCTCGGTCCCTGCGAAGAGATGGCTTTGCCATCAGAGAGTGAAGTGCAGTGGACAGGAGATGGAGGTCCCGGGCTCCCTCCCTGCCGCCTCAGCTCAGCTTTCAATGTGATTCCCTCAGGAAGCCCTGCGGCGGTGAACCTTTCCACCATCTGCTGCTTCAAGTACCGGCATGAGAAGAAAGTACTTCCAAGGAAACAGGTGGTGGGATACAGAAATGCCCTCAACTGTAACCTGCCAGCAATCGTGTAAGTATTTCTCCACAGACGTTTCTGTGGAAAAGGAAGGGGAGCCAGGGAGTGGAAGGAATGCACAAAACCAGTAAGTCTCCATACTAGAAGGAGGACAGTAGTGGTTAAGGGCTTTGAATCTCACAGGACAGGCCTGGGTTTAATTCTTGATGTTGCTACTTATGGCTGTGGGACCCAATAAACAGTGCTCATTAATGAAACCCAAGCCTGCGGGTCTAGGCTGGGGAAGGGGCTACAAGTAGTCGATGAGGCCTAGAGGCTGGAGAGGGAGATCCTCTAATGGGGCCTAGACAGGGAGGCCTTGGTTAGCCCTGTGTAAGCTAGAAGTGGGGGGTTGTGAACTGGACCCCCCCCCCCCACTCTACACTATGGCCCATGGCAATCTAACTTTGTCTCTACAGCCTCGTCACCAACAAGAATACAGAGGTCTGCACCAATCCCAGCAAAGAGTGGGTCCAAAATTACATCAATGATCCCAAGCTGCCTTTGCTGCCCCCGGTTAGATCCATCTGATCATAGAAAGCCTAGCCCGGCTTCTCAGCTCCTCACAGTGGTCAAGCCTCGGTGGGAGCTCAGGTTCAGGAAAAAAAGGTGTGACCCTATGAAAAACAAGGGCAGCCTTGTGGTCTGAATGACACTCACATTCAGAGAAATGAGCCAGTGATAAAAAAAAAATAAAAAAAATACAAGTATTTTTAATATCTTCTCAATCTCTGGAGGAAATGCCAAAGTTAAGGGAGGTGAGCAGGCATACATTCTTAATACACAGAAAAACGCCTTTCATATCTTTCTCCTCGCTCACAGTCTCTCCACTAACACCAATACAACAGCCATCCTCATAACTCCCAACCAGCCTGACCATCTCTGGACTCATACTCATTCAGAGCTCCACAGAACTCTTGACTTTGCTTGTCCATCCTTATCCTATTTCTAGATCTCTTCCCCTCTCCCGTCTATTTTTTTTTTTTCCTTCTTTTAAAACATAATTTCTGGGAACATTTGAGATCTTGTGTCCCTGCATATGTCATCAGTTTGGCTTTGGCTTAAATAAACATTTACAAAAACTTTCATGAAACAAAAGGAATAACTTTTTCTTTGCAAGCCAGGGTGGAAATATCACATGTTAATGATCTTTGTCTTTTTTTTCTTCTTAATAGTCACCTGAAATATGTTTATTGATTTTTAGAGAAGGAGGGGGAGAAAGAAAAAAAGAAAAAAAAAACCAAAAAAAAAAAAAAAAACCAGTGACATCCAACTACAAGCTAAGTATGTGCTCTGACCAGGAATTGAACCCACAAACTTTCAGTGGATAGGACAATGCTCTAAGCAACTGAGCTGCTCGCCCAGGGCTGATCTTTGACACTTTTGCTGAGATTTTGCCAGCTCCCTAAGATTTGGTCTCCCCTCAGGTGGCATGGATACAGAGAAAGTCAAAACAAAAAAAGAGGTGAGACTCTTTAGCTCCTACACTAAGCTTTTTGGGCCAGGAAAAGGGCATTAGACTAGGTTAAGGGTAAAAATCTTAATGTTTGGAGGAGCAAACTCAACCATTGTTGCAAAACTCAACCATTCAATAAAGAAAATTTCCTTTAATCCTAACTTCATTTCTGACTTCCTTTTGCTAGGGTGGGGAAAACTTAATCTATCTAGTTGTCTCAGTAGCTTCTCAACATTCTGATGTGGTACATCTACACAATGGAATACTATGCTGTGGTAAAAAAAAAAAAAAAAAAAAAAAAAAAAGGAATTTTCACCATTTGCAACAGCATGGATGGAACTGGAGAGCATTATGCTAAGTGAAATAAGCCAGTCAGAGAATGATAAATCATGTGATCATGATCTCACTCATTTGTGGAATATAATGAACAACATAAACTAATGCACAAAAATAGATCCAGAGACAGAGAAGCATCGATCAGACCATCAAACCTCAGAGGGAAGGCAGGGAAGGATGGGGGCAAGAGGGATAGATCAACCAAAGGACTTGTATGCATGCATATAAGCCTAAACAATGGACATAGACACCAGGGGGGTGTGGGCATGAGTGGGGGGGGGGGGGGGGTGTGCAATGGGGTAGTAAGGATACATGAAATACCTTAATCAATAAAGGGAGAGAAAAAAAACACATTCTGAGCATTTTGTTAAGGTTGGGGAGCTGGAGAATTTACCCGGCACCAAGGCCTGACATACATACTCAATATCCCCTTCTTGCTGCCTTTCTGTCTCCAGCTCAACAGCTGGAAGGTGACTCAGGAAAAATGTCAACATTCCCCCAGAATGCTGTTGTGGAGATAAAACAAAAATCAGGCAATTAAATATATGTAATTAACAAAAACAAATTCAGGTAAAGTGATCGTTTTGAAAACTAGCCATGATTTGGATTCTGGTAAATTGACCCATACCTCCTCCTAGTGGCCTCCAATGGTAATACGTGAGCCTGTCACCCCACCCCAACTGACGCCCCAGACCACTGCTAGCCAATGAGAACCTCCCTCGGAGAGAGAAATCTGGACCAGAGAAACACATAAGGTTGCTGTTGGAGCAGCATCCCAATGGAAGAAGTCTAGGAACTCTTGCACTGAAGTCCCTGGAGCTGCTGCATTTCCTGTCCCCCATAAAGAGTTGGGAGTTTAGCTAGTCTCTCAGTTCCATGAGATGTCCCAGCATTCGTCCCATTCTTTTGTGTCTTTTTTTTTTTTTTTTATTCCTAAAGGGCCAAGGTGGCATTTAACACCTCTGGAATAACTTTTTGTTGGCTTAGGTTAATTCTGGTTTATGTCTGGTAAAGTATACATACCACTTCATACAGTTTTAAGTGTACAAGTCAGTGGGACTAAGTACAGTCACAGTGTTGTGCAACCATCACCACTATCCATCTCCCGGAACTTTTCCATCTTCCCAAACTGAATCTCCGTGCCCATTAAACAATAATGCCCCACGCCTCCCTTCCCCAGCCCCTAGTAACCATTATTCTTTCTTTCTCTCTGAACTCGACTACTCTAGTTGCCTCATATAAGTTGAATCATGTAGTATTTGTCCTTTTGTGTCTGGCTTATTTCATTTAGCCTATGTCTTTAAGATTCATCCATGTTACTTCATGAGTCAGGATTTTATTCCTCTTTAAAATTTAATAACTTTCCATCTTGTTTATCTATTCATCCACCCATGAAAATTGGGGTAACCCCCCTTTTCTTTTTTTTACATTAGCCAGAGTTATTTAGTTTCTGCTAACCTGTGCCAAAAGCACTTGAACTTGTACAATGACACATCGACCAGTGTTTTTCCTGCCCTTGTCCCTCCACTGGGGGCCGGTGCTACAAGCTTTCGACCTTACTGGGCTGTGAGCTCCTGTTCCTTGGTCCAGAAACAGCCACTGAATTTGACCCAGAAAGGTCATTGTGACTTTGAGGGGTGGTCTCAGCGGGAAGTCGTGACAGAAACCCAAGCAAGGGGGTGGGAGACAGAACGGGAGCTGTGGGTGTGGGGCCTAGGACTCTACCCAGACAAACCTTCTAAAAACGTTTCTGTGGCCGGGACCGGTTTAGCTCAATGGATAGAGCATCGGCTTGGACACTGAAGGGACCCGGGTTCGATTCCGGTCAAGGGCATGTACCTTGGTTGCGGGCATATCCCCAGTAGGGGGTGTGCAAGAGGCAACTGATCGATGACTCTCTCTCATCGATGTTTCTAACTCTCTCTCTCTCTCCCTTCCTCTCTGTACAAAATCAATAAAATATATTTTTTTAAAAAAAACGTTTTTGTGAAGGAAAGCAAAATTTAGGACAAGAGCTAGAAGTAGGTATGGGTTCGAGGGAGGATTGTTAAAGATGTGAGGATTTAGAGCACGTTTGTGTGTTAGCTTCAGTTTTCTTTGCTATAAAATGGAAACCAAAACACCCAGGACTGCAGGTTCTTAGGAGAATCCCACCAGCTAACAGATGTCAAGTGCCCACTGCCGTGCCTGGCCCACAGTGGAGACTCAGCACTGATGGGCTTCCCTCTCAGAGGAAGGAATCTTGAACCCAGCAGGTTTTTCACTGGTAAAGGCAGGGTGACAGTCTTTAGTTCCCACATTGCCGATTATAACAGAGGAAAAGAAGCTGATAGGAAAGGAACCATGTTAATGGCAAGATCAAGAATAAAAGCTATAAACAAATATTTAAAATAATTGAGAGCTCAAGAGACTTACAAAAGCAGGCAGGTTTTGTAGGGGCGTCGGAAATTGGAGCAAACATCAGGGATAGAGCGAGTTCCTAATTTTGGCGGCAGTGGCCTGAGGTCAACTGTAGTTGCCGTGAAGGATGCCACAGGATTGACTAAAATGCTAACAAGAAAGTCTGTGGCCTTTCTGGCCAGATGAACCGAGGGAAGGAGCCTGAAGAAATAGTGGCTACTAGAGAGAGAGAGAGAAAACTCCGAAAAAATTTTTTCTTTTTAATCAGCAGAAGGGAATCCAAAATTCTTTCTATAAACTTAAGCCAACTTTCTAGTCCTAACATCCCTAAAACATACATACTTGGGGAAAACTGAAAGCAGTTTGCAGCTAAAACTTAAAGAACTAAACTAAGATCTGATCTCCATCTACTGCAGACATGAAAGTTTGCAGTTTGAACTGGCCATAGGATTGGCTAAAATGCTGACTCACTGGTTAGAGAGGTCCTGGGTTCAATTCCTGGCCAAGGGCATATTCCTGGGTTGATCCCTGGGCTCTGACCAGGAGGTATACAGAAAGCAACCAATCCACATGCCTCGAATCAATGTCTCTCTCCCCTTTCTTCCCCCCCTTCCTCTGTGAAAATCAATGGGGAAAATATCCCTGGGTGAAGATTAAATAAACAACTAAAAGAACAGCAAGAAGCTGCATAACCTTTTCCAATCTAGTCTCTATATACTTCGCATCCCTCTGTCGAGACAGTCATAGAGGTCTGCCCAGGTCCAAGCTCCGAGGACATATTCCCCATCTCCTGATGGAGGAAACATCAGAGAACTAACAGACATGTTTTTAAGTCACCACATCTGTAGAATAGGAAGAATAATACCCATGTCTATTCTCAGGAGAGCTGATGTAAGGCTTAAATAACATTACTCTGTATATTAGAACTCCAGCTGTATGTGACCGCAGGCAATTTGATCAGTCTCGCTGTGCCCCAGTGCCCTTGTCAATGCAATGGAACTAAAAATTGTACCCCCACCATACAGCTGTTGTTTAGATAATTCATTTAAAGCATTTAGCATAATGCCTGCCACATAGTAAATTAAAGCTCAATAAATTTCGACTTGTTTTTACTAACCACTATTTGAGTTATTGCTAACATCAAGAGTCTTCAATGACTTCACCACAAAGGAAGAGAGGAGAGGGGGGATAATGAGAATTTCACACAAGAGCTGATAGTTGTTAGCCAATTCTCAGGCAGGAAGTTATGAGGAAGGTCACAGAACTAGTCCTCATCCCATCCTCTGCCTGCGAGGTGAGTGCTGCCAAAGGATGCTGGCTAGAGATTGACAAGGCTGAGTCTTTGCTCAGGCAAATAGCGAACCCTAGGGGCCCCACTGAGCACAGCCCCACAGAATTTTGGAAAAGAAGATGCCCAAAGCCAGACAGGACAGCAATACCAATCACATCTGCCTGGGGAACACTTAGAATCTGGGGTCTAAACTCCTGGAAAGCAATGTCAATAGCAAGGCCAGTTCTTGGTCTTTAAGGAAGTTTTGGGAACCACTAAAAAACTATGATTTTGTAACTGTAATAGGACCAGAAGCCCAGTCCT